TGTTTTAGTTATTCATGATTTATTACTTGTGTCACACCTGCATCGAGTTTGGAGAAGATTTAATTCAAAGTTTATGCTTTATGAATGATTCTTCCTGCTAGATTTCACTTGACATTTTATGGGGATGTGATGCTAGAATTATATGGAAGTGAAATTCTGATAGTTGCTATATGCATGTTTATATACAAAAATACTTCCTGCTGTATTACTCCTATTGTTTGTTCCATACTGAATAACACATACCATTTAATACTGATAACGGACAAGTAACTTGTAAGCCCAAATCACTTACTTGCATGACGCTGATAATGATACACGGAAGGGTTTATTTCAGTGAGAGATTATATTACCATTATCATTTTCACTTTTTTCACAATTGATGATAGCTACTAAATGATATCATCAGTGAAAAAGTTTTATTCCCAAATTTAATTAAATATTACAGTAAACACTGATCTATATTTCAAATAAAACAGTGGTGTAACTGTGCTTCATATATATACTAAGCAGCAAAAGAAACGTCAGTTTGGAATTTTCATTCACAGAAACGGATAACTGATCTCCAGCTTTACCTGAGCAAAGACATTCCTTCCCAAATTCAGAATGGAACCCAGGGAATGGTCTCAAATATGCAACCTGATCTCGGAGATGGTACGATGTTATCCATGTTTTTCATGCAACTCATGCTGCATGTGCTGGACCAGCCCTATAAAATGCACCCCCAAACCTGGTTGAAACATTCTCATTACAATGTCAGCAGGATGCCGCGACTCACGACAGCTCAGAAAGAACCAGGCGCTAGGAAGACTTGAAGCTGGCCACACTGCACAAGCCGTTGCCAATCACTTCCAGTTCAACGTTCAGACCATCTACAGGCTGCAGCAACGTTTCCGTGCCACCAACACCACAAATGATCGCCCCCGTACTGGCAGACCAAGGGTGACCACAAGACGACAAGACCGAAACAGCATGCCAGAAAGTGGGAACACACGGAAGACCAATCAGTACTGATACATTACATTGACGTCTTAACAGCTGGAGCCTCCATTGCCGTGGACTTAACGTGGACCAATCCTCACCCCTTGTCATCGGCATCAACATCTACAGTTTGCCCTAAAACACCATAACTGGCGATACAGGCAATGGAGAACTGTTCTGTTCACAGATGAGAGTCGGTACTGCGTATCAACTGCAGATGGCAGAACAAGAATATGGCGACGACGTGGCCAGCATTACTCAGACCAATGTGTTATGGAAAGAGACTCATGGGGAGGTGCAAGCATCATGGTATGGGTGGAATAGGCCTGAACCAGAGAGTAGGTCCTATGGTGTTTCAGAACCTTGGTCCAGGGAGAGGAGGCGGCATCAAAGCGGTGCGCTACATCGACCAAGACCCCACGTCATACCACATTTCGCACGTCACCGGAACAACATTTTCGAGCATGATAACACCCGGGCCCATACTCCCAGAGCTACACGGGACTTCCTACAGCATAATGGTGTCAACATTATGCAGTGGCCAGCCCTCAGTCCTGATTTAAACCCAATTGAACATCTTTGGGATGAAATTCAGACTGAACACAGGCCGAACACAGCCGATTAATTGCACCAGGCCTTTCTCAGAGTGTGGTTCCAGGTGCCAATGGCCTTCATCAATCGATTGGAGCACTCCATAAATAGACGCTGTGCTGAAGTTATTGCCGCTCGTGGTGGTCACACTAGATACTGAGGTCAAGGGTCTCAATTGGCTGCAAATGTTCACGTAATGTCTTGAAATTGTGCTGAGTTATTCATTGATGTGTCAAAATATTGTACACAAAAAATGTTTTTGATCCACTTATTATGTCCATTTCTGTAATGATTTGATTACAGTGCCTATCTAATTTTGAATTCGTCCTGACGGGGTGTTTTTTTTGAGTATATGTTGTGGTTAGATGTTATGTTATTGAAAATGGCATCAATTATTTGGTCATTTGTCTGACCAACATACTTTCATAACAAAGTGTTGTTAAAACAAATACCGCATCAGAGCAGCATGTCCTAACAGATGTGTGTTGTAAAAACACAAAGAACAGTGTCAGTATTAGGCATCAGTACCATTTCTGTTGATACAGTCACTAAAGACACCAGATAATTGAAAACAGCTTGGGGGATGTTCAAATGTCAACCAAAGATTGGCCCAACTGCATTGGCATTACTTGCTGCTTCTGGTCCTGCTGTAGATTACGCCAGACATATTCTGTTGGGGAGAAATCTTCAGAACCAGCCAGCCATTGCAGTGAAGCAGTCATGCTGCTTCTGATCCTGTTGTAGATTACACCAGACATATTCTGTAGGGCAGAGCTCTTCAGAACCAGCCAGCCATTGCAGTGAAGCAATCATGCTGCTTCTGGTCCTGTTGTAGATTACACCAGAGAAGTTCTGTAGGGGAGAGGTCTTCAGAACCAGCCAGCCATTGCAGTGAAGCTCAGCTTCAAAATGTCTATTACAACACTTGCAAAATGTTGGTAGACATAATATTGCTGCACTTTGTGCTAAGAGTACAAAATGATTAAAAAATATTGTGAAAATAAGCTTTTAAAATTGCCATTAACAAAACAAGTTTTGTTCTCTGATGAGTTGCGACACCAGCCCCACTACACCCCCATCCCGGGGCAGACTAAAGATGCTCAGGGATGCAAATGCTCCTGCATTCTTGGATGGCTGTAGACCCTTGCACAACCTACTGAGCTATCTAGGTGAAACCTGGACCCAGCAGAGAACATTTGTGCCATCCAAGTCTTGCCTTCCGAACTTTAGATGATGTCTAATAAAGGCATTTAGTATGCTTGAAAGTCATGCAGAAGCAAAACTGGGCATGTTGCTGGACATCAGAAATGGATGCTGTGCTTCCTCAACCATTTGCATTCTGTATGGCCACTGATTGGTTGCAAACCAGGAATTGTTCAAGCTGTTCATGTGGCAGTTTGTTTCAATTCCTTTGACGCACCAACTGAATAAGGTTGACTTGATGTGACATTTCAACTGGATGACTGGTAAGCGAGAATATCAGGTGGTAAGCCATTTGTCATGATGAAGTTTGTGTTTCGACAAACATTTAAATGCCTAGCAACTTTGTTTTGCATCATTCTGGTTAGCATCCCCTGGTGCATTGACATTATTTCCAGCAAGTGGTAGCACTGAGAAAAGGTTATAAATAGTTCAACAAAGGTTTTTTTTCAGAGGATGTGATAGCTAAACAATCATCCATGTTGTTCAAATCAAAAACCCATGTTTGAGTACCATGCTACCAACTAACACAAATATCCACAAAGTGTCTTGCATTTCCATGCTTGAACAAAATCTGAAGGAGACAGTATATCTATGTTTCTGTGTTTGTTCAAATCATGCATGAAATGATTTGCAAGATCCACATGCAATGATTCAGGTGTGTTGGGGTGTTAGATTTTTATTCTGGCAGTCAGTTTTTCAAAAGACTGTTTTTCTGACAATCAATTGAAACATTATATTTCCCATGTTTTTAGTATGGCCCACACACAGTTATTAACGGACCACCGACTATTGCTGTAGCATTCTTGACAGTGCTGTCTACATGGGTGTGGTCATCAACGAGAGAGTCAAATGCCTTGCATGCAAATACTTATGACATAGGAATATAGCATCGCTTCATCAAGGTCTGGCAGTGATATATATCCAGTATAGAAGTAACAATCGAGCCAGAACAAAATCTTAAATTTGCTAAATATCTTACGTGTGCACACAAATGACTACTATACATTTGAATTCTATTTTCTGTTCTGCTAGGCATAGTTTTAGTTTTATTACTATAATTACTGAGTGTATTTTTCACATGAACTATGCGCTTAACTAGCTTAATCGGCAGTACACACATTTTTAATAAATGTACCTGTGGTCTGGTACCCAAAATAATATAACTTTAAAGAATTTTGCTGCATTTATAAAAAGAAAGTGTCATTTTATCAGAAATTAAATTCCAATATCAAAATATGTTAGGTTTTACTAAACATATTTAATAAAATAATAGCACAATAAATAAGATAATTGATTGCTATTATCGAATAATTTGTACGCATGGTACAGTTTGATAAGTCACCATTGAAGCCTCACGCATTCCTACTACAACAAATGAATGAAAACAAAATGCAAATATCGTAATTACAACCCCAAAACGCATTAAGTATAGGCAGTTCACAAGGAAAATATCTTTCAATATTCCCACATAAAAACAGTACCCTATACATGTAAAGCTGTACAAAGAAACTTATTTGATGTCACATGTTTGTGCAACAATGTAATATAAAAAAATATCCGGATATTATATTCCATGTTTGTCTCTCAACTGATCACGTAAGTTTGTTTTGCTGCTACACATCGGTGTCAAATCCCTAGCACCTGGACTCAAATAAGCACCAAGTCTGGAAGTCCTTTGAAAACATAAGTGTCCAGCTCTGCGCTTATTAGAGGACATGCTGTACCTTCTTTTGGTTTGACTGGGTGGGTATATATTTATAACTGATCATTTTAACCTGATTTTAGGGTTTTCGTGGTCCGACAGACGACTTCTTTATACATATATAAATTGCAATTAGTTGTCAGTTCGGCTGCCTCTTGTCTTTGCCTTAACTTAGCAACAATACTCCATGTCCTGTTCAGACGGTCTGTCCATTAGCAACAGGCTGGCAAAGTGTGGATGAGTGAGAAGTCATTACTTCCTGCTCTATCTGGTTGTTAAACAGTACAAATAACTATATGTTGATGAGAAGAACCGAAAGTCAGACAGTTTTGGTGTCCTGCTAGTGTGACCGTATAATGTCTAACATATTAACCCAGGAAGAACACTTGTCAACCCGGTCACAGACCCCCACACCCCAAATAGCACAAGTCGGCAGTAACAAACAAAACCTTCGTTCAGTTAATGCTAATAAATTGAATAAATTGACTTTCCATGCATTCTTGGATTTAAATTCTCTTATACTGACCTGCTGTGCAGTTAATCAATTGTCCGCACTTGAAAAGGCCTCAATTCGGTCCTATCTTTCTGTACAATATCCCAATATCAGCTGTTCATGTATAGACGGTGACTGAACTTTCTTCCTGTTGTCGACGCTCCTCTGTTTTCGATTTTCACAAGCAGTAGATCGAGCTTTTATTATGAGAGTCATCGCAAGAGGTGCATCCTGTCATATGTAAGTCAACAGAATGAAAACTGCAGGGCGGAAAAACCCATTCTACTTTTAGACGCATGTCCGCCTGTCAACGTGACCAACTGGGACACGAACAAGGATTTTAAGACTGCTTCAGTAACTACTCAGTCAACGTACAACACAAGAGCAGAAACCATGCGCTCGGACTAAATTACATATATTTTTCTTGGGTCTTAGTCAAAATGGCCACAAAACATCCAAGTCAAAATGGCCACAAAAAAGTCAAAATGGCCACAAACCCCTAGTCAAAATGGCCACACCAAAAAGTCAAAATGGCCATAGAAAAAGTCAAAATGACCACACATAATTTTTTATATTTTTATAATACGTTTTCCCATGTTGCATTATGTGATATCAAGGTTTAAAAATGACAAAAGAAGTTATATCAGACAAAACTTGATGTTTATTACACATCAACTAATCACATTTTCAACAAATAACAAGACCGGTCTACTCCCATTTGCGAGAACTCCCATTTGTGAGACTCCCAGTTGTGAGACAGTGGAGTAGGTACTTAGCAAAGAAAACACACCTTACTCCCCTATCTGACAGAATGGATTAACCCCGATAAATGTAGGTTTTTTCTTCATGTACATGCACTTTTGTATTTGTTATATTCATATTGGTTAATATAAATTCTCTCAAGATAGATTATACATTTATGTCCAGTCCACACTTGCCAAATATATCATTGTTGAATATTAATTTATATATTAAGAAGCATAATTTTGATGATTTTCCGGTTATAAGTTTAGCCCACAACATACCATTCTGCTTTTAATAACATTTACAAGTGGGAATGTACCAAACTCGCCATATACCTTAAAGTTAGGTGTACCTTTCCTGAGTGATACTAAATATTTGAGAAAGCAACATTTTCAAAGCAAGAAGTATTTTCAAAACCCCAGACCTCACATGAAGATGATCTGAAAAGTATAAGAACAATTACAATAAACACAGAGATTAACAATTAATTGATCAATTACGGCTTAAATAGTTAACTCCCTGTCTTTCTATAAGTCCCATAAATCTCTGTTGACCTGTGAAAAATATTTATCATTGAACATAAGTAATAAGTGCAAGCGTCTGTTCACATTATTTAGATCATGGTGTAATGCAGTAGGTATCAAATATATTAGAAGAGGTACTGCCTCCTGCAATGATGATATTGTATTATGTAAACACTGTAAAAGTATTGAGGATGAAATCCATATTGTCTATATTTGTAAACGCTATGAGGATATGCGTCGGCGTTACATTCCGAAAACGGTCCATGGATATTATTATTCACTCCGCAGCATATGTACATCATCCGATAATAACATCATAAATAATTTTGTCAAGTTCTTAGAACATGTTTATTCTGCTCCTGTTAGCGTTGTTGTATGAAAATGGTAACCAAAATCACTATTGTACCACCTTGTACGATGGGTCGTATGGTCTTTATACAAAATAAACCCTTCTTCTTCTAAATAGTTAACGAGGCACTTCTGGATTCACAGCTTAATTAAGGTTACACAATGTATGTACTCACCTGCTGATTAGAAGTTAACGAGCCAGTTAGGATAAATGGTCATTTTTTTAATACCTATGCATCTTACCTTCATTTTCACTTGTGACTCCTGAAGTTTACCAGACTATGGGATGGGAGGTTAGGTCCATTCTCCCCTTTTCTTCTTGTTCACAATAAACATATAACCATTTACATGAATGTATCTTCCACCACGAGAAGTAGGAAGAAATTTATTGTGCATTTGCCATAACTGAAGTTGTGGAAATGATGATGAAAAGTGTCAGTTCCAACATTATTATAGCATGCAGGTTTATGTAAGAAATTGAATAACTCACTACTAATGAATTGAGTGAACTAAACTCACTCACTAACCTGCTGGTTCACATGTCAGCCCGCACGTACAAATGTCAAATTTCGTTTCCTGAGTGGACACATTGTACATGTTATCAAAACACTACCCAATGATCAAAGGGTTTTGAAATAACATCTGAAAGTATTAATCAAGTAAACCTTGCGAGAGTATTTAAACAGCTCAAAGTATTACATAAGAAAACATCTCAAAGTACAGGACAAAAAAACAACTCAATATTAAACAATTCTCATTAATATGAAAAAAAAGAATGTATGGCCATTTTGACTTTTTCTTTGGCCATTTTGACTAGGGGTTGTGGCCATTATGACATTTTTGTGAGGCCATTTTGTCGTGTGGCCATTTTGACCCGTTCCCGTTTTATTCACACAGAGGTATGATATCATTCCCATAAGAAAGCTGTTATTTCAATGATATGGTCTGTATGCCAATGGCCCCTGATACAGCGCGAGTCTGGGTAAAGGGAGCTAACTCGTCATAGCCTAAGTACGGATAGGTCCAACGATTCAGTATTCCTGTTGTCCAAGCACTGACAAGGCACGTTTTCATGAAATGTGCGATGTAATGTGAGTGAGTGAGTTTTACGCCGCATTTCACAATATTCCAGCAATATCACGGCGGGGGACACCAGAAATGGGCTTCACACATTGTACCCATGTGGGGAATCGAACCCGGGTTTTCGGCGTGACGAGCGAACGCTTTAACCACTGGGCTACCCCACCGCCCCCGATGTAATGTGAAGTGACAAAGACAAGGGTGTAATGCAAAAACAATTCTGCTGTACATTTAATAACTCTGCCACATAACGTATACGTACCACATAAATTGTCTAATCGAGTACAGGCTAAGTTTCATATATTTTAAACATAATGCCTATTTCTGCATTAAAACGATACACTAAATCAATATGGCGTGTCTTTCGCAAGCTACATGACTGCTTTAGTAGCTTGTAACATCCAATACTCGGGGTTGTGTAGCGGACCGGAGATATAGGTAAGGATTCTGGTCACCGATGGATGTCTGTCGGTTTGTTAAACATTTCCGAAACACCAACGCATTCTAAAATCAAACTTCTTGTCTGCCCGTCGGTATGTTCAGTTACGTATGTAGATTCATGCAATTGAAATGAAATTTCCTTAAAAAGGTCACATGCAACCAAAAAATCAAACATAATTAAAACACAATTATCACTTATTCATGACATATGATATACATTGCTGGTTATGAAAAAACATATAAACAAAATTATAAGCGTACAATCGCAAATCAAAAGTGCAATATTGTGTACTTGGGTTTACTTCCCAAGAAACGAAGCAGCCGGGATACCGAACCCAGTCAGAGCGGGTGGGTGTGCACTCAAGTGTAACGGCTGGTTCATTTGCAGATGCCCTCTCGGCTCATTGTGTGTGTATATATAGAGATGTTGGGTTTTGTAAATACATGCTCATTTTTTGTGTATAACATTTTGCATATCACAGTTAGAAATTCAGTCAACGCTAAATAATGACATTGCTTTTAAGTATCGAACTGAGAAAGTGACTCGGTAAGAAGAACGTGGTGAAATAAACAAATGAAATTATATAAACAGTTTATTTACTGTCATAACATATAAAAAGCTCGCGCCTGTGAGATATCAACAAAACATTAGGAAAATAGCTCACACCAAAGCCTTCACCGAGTATTCACCGGACAGCCCGCTTCCAAGTTGAGCGAACGTATTTCACTGCGCACGTTCTGTGAGCGCAGCCCAGCATGCTGTTTAAACCAGTTTTCCCCAGAAAAGTCGGGGATTAGTGAATCGTTTTAACTCCGATTTCGCGCGGTTTTTCATCGCGTTATTTTTCAACTTTATAAGTTGAATTTGCATTTTTGATGATTTGTTTCGGTAAGTCCATACCGAAAGGTATCAGAATCTGCAAAGTTGTGTTTTATGTTGCATGTGACCTTTAAGAAACTCAAGGGCATGTAGTATTAATACGTTTTTCACTTGAAAAAACTCGTAGCTATTTAGTGTGGCATGTCACAAGTGTCGAACCCTGTTATATTGCCTTATGTAGAATTGTCTGCTGTTTGTATCCTCCTGAAACAGAAAACCCATGTACGTCAATAACGGGGACTTGGAACCCAGAAGGACGTCCGGGTCTTCCAATAACTGTTCAGGATATTGTTGACACCTGGACCTGATTTTACTCATTAATTATGAGTTACAGACCCACGCGCACGTCAAGATCAATCCAAGTCTGCAAGGCGCGCTTTAAAACTAAGTCTTGATGATATGTTGCACCGTCAATAATTCATCATGCCCAGGCTAATTTACGTTTGTTTCACTCGGCAGTTTGCGGGCGTTTCAGAAACTGTGTCGGTCCTTGTCTATGATGCAGAATGTTGTGACAGGCAGATGCACGAAAGCAATGCAGTAGTTGGTGTTGATTCGTCCCACGAGGTAAGTGCAGCTTCTGTTGCAGTAACGAGTGCATATATACTCCGGTGTATAAGCAGGCACTTGTTATCATCCTCCACTAGGGACAGACTTTCGTGTCACAATGTCTTTTATACATAGTGAAAACTATTGAAACGGAAGTATCCATATCCGTATGCAGTATTGGCCTGCATCTTTCTTAATGCTAAACATGGCATTTATCAAAGCCCTGGGGCGATCCTTCCGAAAGAGCCCAATATCACTTTAGTGCACAAATATACAATGAACGTACATAATTTTGCATTTACCTTTCTAATCAGTATACAAGCACATCCTGAAATGAGAGCAAGCACTCCCTCCAGTAAAACGAATTCATGCACACCTTTATGCTGTATTCAGTGTATTACATACACATTTGCATTCTGTTTCACAAGGAACGGGCTAAGCTGCGGCTGGACATGGTTGGTACGCGGAATGACGTTTGGAAATTTAAGTTGAATTTCCCATGGCATGAATACAAATATGTAATTAAATGTCCAGGTGAAATAGTTCCAAATATGCATTTATAATTATGTACGAGGGTTATGTAATAGGATTGCGCAACAGAGAGAAAACTGACCAGTCTTCCTGTATGCTTCGCTCGCATATAGGAAGACTGGGTGCTGTTGTACATAACAACCTTAGCGCTAAGACT